TTTGATTTACATTATATATGAAATTGTTTCTTTTATCCCAACTTTGTTCTTCAAAACTACGTAGAAAAATAAAATATTAAACCTAAAATTAAGATGTTGAGAAACAAAAAGAACTGTTTTTTACGTTTTTTAAGTTAACTGCACAAGACATAGGTATATATCTGTAGTTAATTCACAAAACAATAAATACCCAAGTTATAGTATTTATTTGTTGGATTAATATTATTACAAGATCGATTCTGGATAGTTCTTAGTTACTCGTAATTCGTGCACGGTCCGATGCTTTATAGGCGTCAGTTGTAAAACTAATTTATCTTAAATAGATACACTATAGTTTCACAATTCAATTGACAATTCATTAGATATCGGTTGAGTAAAATCGATGAAGATTTTTATCGATTTTCGATGGTTGTTCTCATAGAACTTGCAATCGAAAATTTCGTGTTTAGTGATTTTTAATTACTATACAAATAAAATTGTTTCTTTCTAATTCTACTTTATCCTTCATAACTACATAAAGTAATAAAACTTTGAATAATAAAATGTGGTGTTAATAAACAAAAAAGAAATGTATTTTTTTTATTTAATTGTGCGATACATAGCCAAATGGCTGTATTACATTTAAAAAGTTACAAAATGTTCAAATTATAGTACCCAATTGTTCGATTAATTTTAATACAAGACCCATATAGCCAAATATCTTCTTATATATATAAAAAAAAGTCGTGTTAGTTACACTATTTATAACTCAAGAACGGATCTACCGATATGGCTGAAAATTGGTGAAGAGGTAGCTTAGAGCCAGGAGAGGGATACTATTTATTCATTTTTTTTCGAATTTTTGCCTTGAAGAGTTGCTTTTTATTTAACTTACTAATATTATAAATGCGAATGTTAAGATGGATGTGATGTGGATAGTTGGATGGGTGGGCTACAATAATATTTTTTTATATCCACGCGGACGGAGTCGCGGGCGACAGCTAGTATGTTATAAATTCAAAAAGTAATAAAATACCTAAGTTACAGTACGTATATCTTAGATTAATATTATTACAAGACAGATTCTCGATACTTGGTCGTATTACGCGACGGTTCGACACTATGGAAACCGTCCATTGAGTAGGGTGCCTTTTTGAACAGTGAACCAACTATTTTCTAAGTCGTATATGTTGTTAGAAATCAAAGTTAATAATATCGTTTTGGTGTCATGGTTTAGGCAATTTAATACAGTTTCTCATATTCAGGTTACAGAAAGCCAGAGAAACGAATAAAGAACGTAATTAAAGTTAAAAAAAAAGAAAATTGGCTAACTGTGTACTATAGGTAGTGTACACTGAACAACCTGTATTATAACAGTGAACCACTATTTCGTTACCAGTAAAAATCCTGATTTGTGAAATGACACCATCAACTTTTTTGATAATAGTCTTTTACTATAAAAAAATATTACTTCTAATAACAAAAAAAATGGTTTTCAGTGCTTTATTTATGGTTATAATAATATTAATATCATCCTTCATTTAATAACCTACCAGTTAAAACAAGAACTGGGTAAACAAAAAACATAGCAGAAAAAGGTTTCGTACAGTTTTCTTCAGCAGTTAACTTCTTAATTACGCTAAGTTATCATATAAACCTCTGGATAAAATAAACAATCAGCCTTCCTAAAATAGTATAATTAACAATCATCATTTTAATGTCGCTGAGTTTCACATTAGCCATATCGGGTTCTAGAGGAAACACAATTTTTTTATTTAGAGGATCTTTTAATTTTAGGTTCGAAACGCAATATTTATCATCAGTTTCTATTTTCAGAATCTTCGCAACGTAATAAACAGCCCGTTTTTTTAGATTGCAACAAGACTAGGACGTATTCATTAAACATTGAGTTACGCTGTAAATAACGAAAATCTTCAATAATAATTACATCTTTCTCTTCCGATTCTATGTCCGTTTCGCTTTTAAGAATTATACCTTCACTGGTTTCACTGTCTTCTTCTGGTAAAACTATTTTTTCTTATATGGTATCTTTCTGATAGAATCATTTTATGTCCACAGTCTTGTAGAACTTTTATGTTGACCTTTTCTATTTAATGCTGCAGTACCTTGGTTCAAGTTATCATCATGTTCACGTTTTTTTTTAACGTAACGGCGCAATGTAGGGGAAATCTTTAGCAATGCTGACATCATATCGTCTTTTTTGTGTTTGTCAATTTTTCTTTCCTTATTGAGTAATTCTTTCCTTAGTGAGGCATTCTAAAATAATCAAAAATATTATTGATTTTTAGCATAACACTATCATTGAATAGTGAACCGGGATCGTAAGGTATACACAGTAAACCGTTTCACTGTATTTTTTTTTTATAAGAGAAGGGGGCAAACGAGCGGCGGGAACACCAAAGTGATCAACGACACCCATGGACATCTGCAACACCAGAGGAACTGTAGATGCGTTGCCGGCCTTTAAGGAAATGGTATGCTCGCTTCTTGAAGGTCCCTAAGTATACTGTGCGAACCTGGTTCACTGTTTAATAACACACTATTTAACTTAGAATATAAAAAAATTAAGTTGTAGGCTGAATTGTCACAAAGTAATATGCTCATAAAACGTCTAAAACTACAATGATATCGACACCATAAAGCTTTTGGTGATATAATTAATAACAAAATATATAAAAATCGAAAAGACACTTACGTGAGAATTATAAGTTTTTTTTTGGTGAGAATCAAACAAACAGCTGTCACACTTGACGCTCAAGCCGAAGCCACCAGCTAACTACGGGCGAGGGTAATGGTGTCTACGAGAGATGTTTTAATACGATCGGTTGAATTGGCAACCTCGTAGTTTTTTTCAATATGGTGTTGGTTCAATGTTTAACAACCGACCGTACAATATTAATCTTCTTACGAAAATAATTCGACATTTTATAGGCGTCAGTTATCAAACTTTAGATAAGTAGTTTGAAAACTGACGCCTATGTAGTATCAAATTAATTTTGTATGAGGATTAATATTGTATTTCATGAATGGTTGTCATAGTCTCGGACTTTACGCGCATAACCAACCTATGAACTATCGAGAATCGGTCTTGTAATAATATAAGAAATACGTACTATAACTTAGGTATTTTATTACTTTTGAATTAATTACAGATATTTGGCTATGTCTCGCATGATTAACTAGAAACATTCAAAACATTTCTTTTGGTTTGGAAATATCTGTCGCCTGCACCTAAAAAAAATTTAATTAGTAGCCTATGTGTTTTTCCAGATTGTGTTCTACATCTATGCTTCATGCAGCCGTTTTGAAGATACCTTCAAACAAACAACAATCACACCCTATTGTTTTCATATAATTTTACAAACAATAAACAAATTTAATATAAATATAGATAACAAATCGATTACTCTTATTTAAAATTAGTTGTTAAAAATTTATGATTTCGATTGTCATGCTTGCGGTTAAAATTCAACATAATGACATCGTCAAATTGTATCAGCATTATTTGCAAATTATTGTCATGCTTCGTTCGTTAATTGTAACAATAACAACGGATTTCATCTAAAAATCAACTGCTTACAGATAAAAAACCAAAATTAAATCTCTACTTATCAACGGAACCACACGGAAACTTTACCTAGAACAAATAATTATCTCCTCCCTGTCCTTGTTCCACTTATTTTTTTATGTAAAAAAAAAATGTAAAAACAAAATGTACCAATTATTGTTAACAGCAAACGAACTTATTTGATCTTTGAGGAGTGCATGAGAATGGATTAGATATAGTGTCGTAAAGGAAGAGTATGATTTAAAGGATCTTGTTAGTAGAGTTTAAACAGGCGTGCTTAGATGATTTGGCTAATAAAGGTTGAATGAAAGAAGAATAAAAAAATAAATTTATGGCGCGAAATTTAGTGGCAATGTTGCAAATAATAATCGCAAAGTACGAGAAAGATGTGTATCAGGAACGCATTAAATGTAAATTCGTGGGCAAATGATTTACACCGGCCATTTGTAATTTTTTTACGTAAATTGAAAATCAACCATTTGTAATGGTGACATCTTATTGATATTTGTATTGTTATAAGTACACTGAAAATCGGGAGTCGAGAGAGAGTATGTTTCCCCTTCCTATAGTCCCTTTCACCATCAAATCAACTTCCTTTCATTTTAAGACAAGGGTGGAAAGGTAAAGAATACTTAGGTTTCCGGCACCACACTCCTAAGTCGCAACGCAGAATTATTTCCACTTTGCGCTTGTCTTCTGTGCGGTCGTGGTATTGCAGAGGGCGAGGCACATGGCCGCGGATGAGAGCGAAAGCGTTCCCGTGGTCCCGTCTCGATGCGTTGGAGGAACAGAGGGGTTTAGTGGGTATGCCTCCGCAATGAAGGAGAGTCCCACATAACTACCGCGTCCCCCCGGGGCGCGGAGTATGCATAAAGCATTCCCCTCTGAAAAAAAAAGGGCGAGGCACATTCGTTCAACAAATATTATTTTGCTGGCGTCTACCACTGCTGAACTTTCTCTAGACATTCACTATAAAGCATTTATAAAATAAAATACATACAAACTTATATTTATCTATCCTTCTTATTTATCATTTACGTATTAATTATGTACACACACACACACAGACTACTTTGGCGAAACTTTGGTTGTATGTTCTTAGGACGACAGAAATTATTAGTGCCTTATGGAAATTAAAAAATAAAAATAAACAAGATTTATCAGATTAAATGAAGGTTTAACAGGTCCAATACCTAAGTTTAAAGTAGCTAACTTGATGCATTTACCTGGTGTCGAGACCTACTAGTTTTGTGTCCATTGGGGACCGTTCTTTACTATGTTCTTTATCAAATTCTAACCTTAAAACGACCAACAAGCGAGACAAGATTTGCTGATGTAGCGATTTTCTGATAAGCGTTGAAGCGGTCGAGATAAACACTATTGTATAAATACACGCTCTGCGAGAGGTGTGGCATTCAGTCGCATCCCGTAGCAGCAGCAACAAGGTCGACAAACATGATGTACACACTGGTGTCTATAGCAGCTTTGCTTGCCACATTGTACTATTACTTCACCAGGACATTTGATTACTGGAAGAAAAGAAACGTCCTCGGACCCAAACCGCTACCGTTCTTCGGAAACCTCAAGGATTCCTTCCTAAGAAAAACATCATTGATAGTCGTCAACAAAAACATCTACAATGCCTATCCTGAAGAAAAAGTCGTCGGAATATACAGAATGACATCACCGACTCTAATGGTACGAGACTTGGACATCATGAAGCACATCCTAGTTAAAGACTTCGAACAATTCATCGATAGGGGAGTGGAATTCAGTGACAAGGGTATGGGAGCTAACTTGTTCCACGCCGACGGCGACAGGTGGCGTATTCTGAATGGACATTTCACTCCAGTGTTCACGTCAGGGAAGCTCAAGAACATGTTATATCTGATAACAGAGCGAGCGGACAAATTCATCCAGTACGTCGATGAAATTACCCAGCAGCAACCGGAGCAGTCTATGCATCAGCTCTTCCAGAAGTACACAATGTCGGTGATCAGCGCCTGCGCCTTCGGGGTTGATCTCGACGACAACATAAGGAATACATTGGAAAATATGGATAAACTTATTTTTTCTACAAACTACAGCATCGATTTGGATATGATGTATCCCGGTATACTGAAGAAATTCAACGGCTCCATCTTGCCCCGCTATGTGACTTCGTTCTTCGAGAAACTCGTGGAACAAGTGATAAAGCAGAGAGGTGGACGACCGACCGATAGAAAAGATTTTATGGATCTTATTCTTGAATTGAGACAGCAGAGGACAATTGAAGGTCGGAAAAGATTTGAAAATGAAAAACAAGCGTCACTGGAACTGACCGACAGTATAATTGCTGCTCAAGCTTTCATTTTCTACGGGGCTGGATACGAGTCAAGCGCGTCCACTATGGCCTTCCTGATGTACGAGATGGCAAAGAACCCGGACGTACAGGACAAGCTCATCAAGCATATCGATGATGTCCTCAAACGAAACAATGGCGAGGTGAGCTACGAGTGCCTAAACGAGATGAAATATTTGCATCAGGTGTTCGACGAGACATTGAGGAAGTATCCGTTGGTGGACCTGATCCAGCGCGTCGCTCACACGGAGTACAAGGTGCCGGGCACCGACATCACGCTGGAGAAAGGCATGCCGGTGATCGTCAGCGCGTGTGGCATACACCACGACCCCAAGCACTACCCAGACCCGGAGAGATTCGACCCGGACCGCTTCAGCGCGGAAAATGTGCAGAAACGACATCTCTGCGCTTATGTACCGTTCGGAGTCGGCCCGAGGAACTGCATCGGTATGTACATTTCTACTTTTCTTACCAAAAGTAAATATTTAAACTTTTCAAAATATTGTGAAATATTATTTTAACTAAATGAAAACGACTACACTCGTACACTTCATCAGGGTCGGTCTGGGGTCACGGACTAGTTTCAGGTCCATCGGGGGTCTTTTTCACGTTGAGAGGGACTACGTCTCGATGAGAGCGAAATGACACCAGTCTCACTCACCCTGAAAAGGACGGAGTGTACGAGTTTTTTTTTAATTTAAAAAAAAAAAACGAGCCGTTTTATAAATTATTTTTTAAACAAATTTAATAAGGCTAAACATTTTTAAAAGTATAGTTTTTAGAGCAAGTTGTAACAGAAGTTTTTATTTTGCAGGCATGCGCTTCGCTAAAACACAATCACGAGTTGCCATGGCCAAATTCTTTTCCAAGTTCCGTGTGGAGCCTTCGAAGAAGACGGCTGTGAATTTTACATACGACCCGACTCGTTTGTTCCTTTTGCCTCAAGAAGGAATCTATGTTAATATTGTGCGACGTTAACTAACAAACGACACTCTGAAAATTTCCACTTTAAATATTGTTTTTGAAATAGGGCACTTTTGTGGATTGTGACACATAATTCATTTTTAATAAATTTGGGTGAACATTAAAATGAATAATAGTTTTTTTTAAACCTAAAAATATTATCTAATAACTATAAAGTTCTAGACTGTGTATAATATCAAATATTTAAATAATAGACCCACAAATATACGACCCCTAAAACACAATTTCAGACCACCAAAGACAGTTATAGGCTACCACAGGAGTAGAATTTACGGTCCACCCTAAAAATACAATGAAATTTAATTTGTGATTTCTCTTGGCTTTTATGTGTTACTAGCTGTCGCCCGCGACTCCGTCCGCGTGGATATATAAAAAAACCGAATATATAAAGTTAAATAAAAAGCAGCTCTTCAAGGTATAAATTCGAAAAAAAAATGAATAAATAGTATCCTATGTCCGTCTCCTGGCTCTAAGTTATCTCCTCACCAATTTTCAGGCATATCGGTAAAGCCGTTCTTGAGTTATAAATAGTGTAACTAACACGACTTTCTTTTATATATATACATAGATAAAATACATTTTAATATAATCAGAAACTACATAATCATTATGTAATATTTTATTACGAAAACAATTCCCTATTAGGATAATTACCGAGGTATATTTAAAGGATCTCTGTTATAGAATGCAAATCAAAATACTTGTGGTATTTCTCGAAATTTTATTGTTACATTAATATAATTTTTCAATTCCCATAATCTTCTTTTATATATGTTTTATTCTAAATTAGACCCTCCGTTGTCATAATCTTATATATAAAATCCTCGTGTCACAATTTTCGTTCCAATACTCCTCTGAGACGGCTTGATCGATTCTCATGAAATTTTCTGAGCATATTGAGTAGGTCTGAGAATCGGCCAACATATATTTTTTAATCCCGCGCGGACAGAGTCGCGGGCGACAGCTAGTTTTTTTTATATAAATCAGGCTAGCGCAACTTTGAACAAAAATATTTCTTCTTCTTATTTAATGTTATTTATTAGGTTCGATGTTGTTAATAAAAAAAAAATTAAAAGGGGCTAACCAAATCACCTTCATTTTTACCGATATCGATAAATCGACCCTAAGCGCCCTTTACTATTAATCCCGCTAGATTGGTATCCATGTTTTCCGTCGTGTCATAAAATATTTATACTCTAGCAACTATTTGCGATGCAAATATTTTAAATTGAAAAAGTTTTAACTCTTTGCTATAAATGTAATATTTTGTGTGTATATAATCACTCGTTACTCGTTAGACAGGATTTTTTCCCCGCATATTAAACAGTTAAATTGGAACGAGGTGTCATTCGACAGGTTTTCACCGGAGTATTGTTGGGGCTACAGAAGTACAGTCAGCGTCATATAGATCGTCACAGACAAGATATGCAAATATATAGGTACATCAAAAGTAATCAATTATATCGGTACAACAAAAGTCCTCAAATTGATAGATACACTCACCCTGCTCAAATACATCGGTACATACACAGCGTCAAACATATGAGTACATGCAAGGTGCCCATAAATATCGTAGCAGCCACAGCGTCATAAGTAACGAAGCAGTCAAGGTGCGCAAAAATATCGTAACATTTGACAAAATTGAACTCTATCTCTATATACTTGTGATACAATTTGGAATAAACTACTTCTGTTACATTCATTTGACACTTTGTATTAACATTATAGGTTGTCCGGAAATACTATAATATACATAAAGGGGTAGATAATTAAAACAAATACTTAGATCATGCCAATTTATTAAATTCATTTAGCACGCACACTTGTGCTATATTCACAGAATTATTCGTTATTTCAAAACCTATTTACCAACATTTGTGCATTAGCATCATTTTAATGATACGTCGAATTTTAATTATTACGTAAACAACGCACAAGTACACAAGTAAAAGAATTTCGTAAAATAAGTATTAAAAAAAACTAAAAAAAAATAATGAAAATTATACGATGGCAATAAAAAAAACATTTCCATGGCAGCTATTTACTTGGATCGAAATTCACTTATAATATTTATAACTTAACGAAATATGATTTTATTCAACTTAAAACCTATATATTGTTTATGTATAACCAAATTCGTTATATATTTCATTGTACAGCGTAACTTAGTGTCCACTTTTATATAGAGGTGATTTACTATATTTTTTTAGAACAGTAGAAAAACTAACACATTAGTATAGTTAACACGTTGAGCGCCATGTCAGCCATCGGTGGCTGACACTAGATTTTCTGTTTAAGATGTTTGACGCTCAGTGACATTTGAACTGTAATAAACTGATTTGTCGCAAAAAGAATAACGACCACGAATCCATTTCGAAGAAATTTTATCTAAGCGGGCTGAACAGTAAGAAAAACAAAACAGACTTGGCGCGTAACGTGTTGAAACAAACGGATACTGCGATCGGAAACACCGGCCCTTTAATACCAGTGCGTATAGGTGGCGCTCGTGGCCTGAACGGGATTTTCTTAGAAATACGCGTGGCGCTCAACGTGTTAATATATATTAGTATAATATTTTTGTTATAGAATTATATATTTTCTTTTATTATTTCATTATTTACTTTCAATTATGAAGATATACAATTCTTGATTATAAATTTATTTTATATATAAGTAGTGAATTGCTAAATAAATGAATATTAATGACAGGATTTTCATTAAACATTTTTTTCACTAACTTATAGAGTTAAAGGATGTTTCTTTTTTCAAATAGAAATTGGCAATATAGTAAATTAAAGCTAGGAACATATTAGTATATCGGGCAAAACAACCTTATTCGCGTTTGAAATATAATTCAATATCTAATTACATACTTATATTACTTAATAATAAAATAGAAACCTGTTTTGACAGCTCCATAAAGCAAAAAAAAAGCTGCATGACGAAAAAAAAAAACATGAAAAATTCTGCCCAAAATGTTACAGTAAAAGCTAATTACATCAAAACGATCCTATAGTTAAAAAAAGTGGAGCGACAAATATTTTAATAGTATATGTTAATATCATTTCTAACTAACTTTGTTTTATGTATTGGCAACTAACTAAAAATGTCTATGGCTTTCTTTTTGTACTTAAAAAAAAAGTTGGGCGCATTTTAAACAATTCTTTATATAACAGCACCAAATCGCTAATCATAGACTTTTATGAATACACCAAAAAGTATAATCTTAAATTATCCTAAGACAAAAACATGCGTCAGTAATTATATCATTTTCTAAACTGTGCGCTTTGTATTATAAAAAGATTGTCTATTCTAAATCAAATTTTATCGCATATAGAAACAGTTCATAATTATTTTAACAATCGATTTTTATAGTATTATACATTTTTTTTCAACAATAAAAGCATGCAATATGCAATTACGAGATATAAAATGACAATACTTAATTTAAAAATAGCAATTTCGCTGCCGAAATTTGTCATCAAGTTGTCACTAAGCGAGCCTTTTAGTGTAGATTTGTAACTAATATAGACTCATAACTAAACTTAGTGACATCTTAATGAGTGCAACAGTAAGAAAATTTAATTAATATAAAAAAGGAATACATTAACTGTATTTTCTACTTTTTTTACTTTTTGACAGTTTGGTACAGTTTATTGGGGAACATCCTGTAGCTCAGTTATACTAATTTGTCTTCATAGTCAATCGGAACAAAAATTATCTACTAGTTAACTAAATACGTTATATAAAAAAAGGGTTAATTTTAAATTGTAACTACAAAAAAGGCCATATATAAATTACGCCACACGAATTATTTTTTAACTCCTCCCCCGTCTTTGTTACGATGGACATCTACCCCCCCCCCCCTAATTTAGTGTGACGTCACAAATTATACAAAAAAATGACGACAAAGCGCAACGTTGCGATATTTATCAAATTAATATAAATTAAATGTGACTCCTTGTCACACACCGTCGACCCCTTCCAACCTAGACGTGTGACGTAATTTATAGACCCAAAGAAATTTTATTCATAACAAGTTTAGAATAGAAATAGTAGGTTTTTTAATATATAAAAAGATGCAAAAACAGCATTGGCAGTACAAACAGTATCTGCCTATAATACATTAAGCTACAGTAGAAAATATTTAACGAGTTTCATCTTATAAGGTAAATTATTTATAAGAAATTGAAACCACCGCTCACAGAAGTCATCTTTTAAAAGATCTCATAAGAGTGGGACACAAATATTTATGTTCATCAGATGGATTGCACATGTCACTGGCCGACAATGTTTATTGTTGAACGCTATGTCAATTTAGTTTCCATAATTATATCAATAGATGGCAGAACATATTACTAGATCACGATATAGATTTACTTTGTATGTTTATCGACTTCCCGACCGCATTTCAATAAAGTTGACTCGCACCAAGATATAACCAGTGTTTCATTGTGACTACTCGATACTTCTCCAGTGAGAGGGAGACCTTTTTGAGACTGCTTTACATTTATTGTCTATGGATTTATTTTGGATTTGTTTCATGTTCTATATTTAAATTGATGACATAAACACGTCTGTTATTAATAATATAATTACAGCCTTTTGAAAGTAAAATGTTTTTCTATTAAATTTAAATATTCATGATGCAATTTTCTATCTAAATAAATCTGAACTTTCCAATGATTTTAATATTAATACATTCTTAAATGGCAACCCTATAATTTTTATATAACCTATAAAATATTTGAGTGCCATCTCATCTAGAATGTGTTGTGCAAAATTAGCGAAATAAATTTAATATTTCTATCATTCCTATATATTCCTCTGATAGTAATTATGTAATTCTCATAGATCTCTCACAAATATACTTCTAATAACATAATTTTTAAATCTAAAAAAATAATTTGACGTCTAAACGGGTCATTTTGTAAATGTCAACATTGACAATTTTGTGCTCCTGATTACTCATCTATAGACACTCTATAAACAGATAGGCAATTGTTTGGAAATCAAATAGTATTTAGTAGTTCTGTCAGATTTGAGCGCGAAATTAAGAATTGTTTTTTTTTATACCAAAATATAACATTTGTATTGAGACGAATTAATTAAAACAATAGATTGAGTTATTTTTGGCCTTTTTTTTGTTTTGGAAACATTAGAAAAAAGCGTTTTAGGGACTAACAGCTTTCCCTTCGTTCCGATTTAAACGCACTTGTTGATGTTATGTGATAATTAATTCTATCTATATTTAGTTTTAGTGGTATTATTAGCGCGAATCCACAATACCGTTACAACCGCGGTAGCGCCATTTTGATTATCAACTCCAAAATGGCGAATATCCAATAGGAACAAAATGCTACGATTTATAGAGAGTCCATTTATAGAGGTAAATGCCTATATGTCGTAAATCTTTGATTGTGTTACTATGTTACTGTGTCTTTATTTCTTTATCAATGATTAAAAAGACAAAAATAGTCTTAAATATTTCGACTAAACACTGAGATAAAAGCGTTGGCAGTAATCAGAAGGCATTTGTGCATATCAAAGGCAATGATTATAAAATGTATAAAGTACATAAAACTTAAGCTGAAACTTATTAATACTTAATTGCATACATTTAAATTCAAGCTTTAGTCACAGCTTTGTAAATATAGTTACTTTGTAGTTTTATCTGACATTTGTTGCTTGCAAACTTTGACTAACGACATGTCAAACATTTGTTTTGACAGTTCATAATTGTCAAGTTTTGTGGTAGGAGTAAACGCAGTTCAAACTTTGACCATGACATATACATACTGAGAATGGCCCAGATTTAAATTATTTATTAATCTATGTATTATACAACTGATATTTCAATACTGCTGAAAACAGCTTTGAATAACCAAATAGATTTACTTTTTTTATAAAATTTCTTTATCTTCTGTGCAAGAAAATGTTAGTAAATATTACATACCATGCCATTAATCAAATATTTTTTGTACAACACGGATTTTACTTCCTTATTATTAGTCAGGTTGCAAAATCTAAATCTTAGTCTTAGCAAGTCTGAGTAATAGTAAACCAGAGACAATTTACTTTAGACAGGGCATTTGAGTCATTCGCTTGACATATTGTCATTTCGACATTAAAATTCGACAGACAGTTTTCGTCAATATATTTAAAATTCGAACTGTTTTATTTACAATTGCTGTTGATATAGCATATGATTATAACATTTGGGCAATTCGGCCAAGTGTTTGTCTACTTAAACTTTAAAGAACAAATACTTAGCAACAATTACACTTGATATGGCATTTATAACTTTATGGTATAAAATATTACCATGTGCCGATGAAAATACAACAATTTTTAAAATTTTTACCACATCAATAACAATATTTCACAACTGGTATCGAGTATTGCCATAATATGGTTATTTTATAAAACGTCATATTCAAATAGCTGTGTTACCACATAGAATAAAGTTCGCAAACCAACAGCAGTTATTTAACAATAAACTGTGGAACTTGATAGAGAATTTGAATTAATTCGTAAAACTTATTTACAACAGTTCACATTTAATGGGGCGCCGTGAACCCCCCTTGTTCCCTCTCCTATACTTTTTGCCGCGGCTTTCCTTATCTTTGCGGATTTCTCGGACTAGGGTGTAGAATGCATCATCAACCCCCATACGTGTCTTGGCTGATGTCTCTACGAAAGGGACACCATAACTCCGCGCTACCTGAAAACCACAAACATTCACTTCACAATTGTTGTTCTTAATTATCATGTCAGTATTTCTATAATAACATGTTTTCTTTTCCCACAACTTTACACATCTACACAATATTATAAATGGGAAAATTTGAATGTATGGATATTTGTTAGAAGGTATCTCCAAAACAGTTCAATGGGTCTCGATGAAATTTGTCACAGATGTAAAAGAAGAAAACATAGGCAACTAATTAAGTTTTTTTTAATACTGCAAAGATGGTGTCGCAGGCAACAGCTATTATAATGATATAAATATTAAACAGCAAAGCGATCACTGCCCATAGACATCTACAATAATTTAGTGGTTAAAAAAACAGAGGATGTGCAGAAAAGACATCTACCCTTTCACGCTACCCTCATTTATGACAAGGATAAAGTATGTGCTACAATAGTTGTAACTATCATATAGAGTAATGAGTAATCTAGATGTGTCATATGTATTTTTTACATAACAATAACATACTATGATGATTAATTTATTGTAATTGTAAGTATTGCTACATTGTATTATGATTGTTACATAAAAATAAAACTAGGAAGTTTATTTATAAATAAACTAGCTGTCGCTTGCCACTCCGTCCACAGGGTTATTAAAAAAAACTTAATAGTCTATGGTATCTCCGGAATTACTTAATGGATCTTTATAAAATTTGGTACAGATGTAGAAATTAAGTTAGAGCAAAAGCTAGTGAATTAATAACATTGACAATTGAATATTACATTACACATCTAGGATTATAAATTATAAGCCGTCGTCCACCTGCGCAGAATTAAAAAAAAAGAAAAAAGTCTCCTATGTGTTCTTCCAGGACTATGTTTTACATCTATGCTAAATTTCATCAAGATTCAAGACCGTTTTGCTATTCAGAGGATCCCTTTAAACAAACATCCATCCATCCATCTAAACATTCTCATTTATAATATTTGTAAGATTAATATTGAATAACTAGTTGGTGTTTCATTATTTAGTGTAGCATAGCATTGGCCAACAATAGGGACTCTTAAGCTGACATAGTTTAGTGTAACTTGACTTGTATACAGGATGTTTTAGATTCTGTAAACATTCTTTTGTTGACATTACTTTTTGTTACAACAGCTGGCTCTGTTTACATTAAAGTTTTTTATGTTTTTGAAATAAAACTACATAAGTCGTATATCAATAATTTAAGAGCAAAAAAAAAAAAGAAAAATTTGTAAACAAAGATTGAATTTACATTACAAACTGTTAAAATTTGATATGGCTGGCTAGTCCAGTGGAAAGAATTCAATCTTGGATGGGTTTTGGCAATTAAATCTGGTGTGGGTTCAGAGACATTTGAAGTATAATATTAATTTACTTTAAATTAAATTCAAAAATTATTGACTTTTTGGTAATTCATTCTTTTTTGTAAATTTATTCTCATCTATATGTGTTCATAAATGATAATCTTACTAATATTATAAATGAGAATGTTTGGATGGATGGATAGTTGTTTTAAGGTATCTCAAGAATGACTGTATGGATCTTCCTGAATTTTGGCATAGATGTAGAACATTGTCTGGAAGAACACATACGCTACTAATTAAGTTTTATTTATTACCGACTTAACCCGAACAGTGTTGTGGGTAACAAATAGTATGTATAATATTTTTAAAACCATCATTTATACCATGTTTGCATTTCATTGTCAAAATGCATAAATTATAGTGTTTTCTGTATAATATAATAAAGTTTTTTCTTGCAAGGTTTTAACATAAACCTAACTGGCTGACACAAATTTGATATAGCATATAGATTCCATAAAAAAACATCTGCGGACAATGTATAGTATATTTCTTATGCAATTATGCACAAAGAATCTAAATGATGAATGTATATTGCATAGGATTTAGAAAAATGGAATGAAATATAATAATTGGATCATATTTAGGCTGGCTTTGTCAAAATAGTAATGTCACTTTTTGAAAACAATGAATAGTTATTTATAGTTATAATGTTTGATACCACAGCTGTGATAAGGGAGGACATGTTGGTAAACAAAGCTTACCTCCCGCGCCTGTGTCATGTCCACCGCCCACGCCTGTAGGTCGCACTTGTTGCCCACTAGCACCATGGGCACTTCTTCCGCGTCCTTCACTCGCTTGATCTGCTCTCGGTATGACCCAATGTCCTCGAAACTCTTAGCACTGTTCACTGCAAACACCAGCAGGAAACCTTCTCCCGTCCTCATGTACTGGTCCCGCATCGCCGAGTACTCCTCTTGACCCGCAGTGTCCAAGATGTCAAGGAGACATGTCTCCCCGTCTATCACCACTTGCTTTCTATATGAATCCTCGATTGTTGGATCGTATTCGTCAACGAAATGGTTTTGTATTAATTGTATAGTCAATGCAGATTTACCCACGCCACCGGCCCCTACCACCACTAACTTGTACTCCGTCATCTTATAACGAGATAGAAGGAATATTTTTTCGTATATCTAATGTCACTTGCACTACCAAACGACGCCCCACTGAGACGCGCCACACCTCTGATATTACTCACATCGGCATGGCTGTCACGGCCTGTTATGTATGTTATTGCACTCACTGTACCCGTAAATCGGCTAATTAATGTATTATTAGAGGCAAATGCAATAAATAACAATGAGGCAGTTCACTCACCCTTTTTTTACCACAGATTAAACAGATCTAACTTACACGTGACACTACAGTTCAACAGATTGCGAAATCATGTAAATGACATGACAAATTGTAAATTTTTGACCAACAAATTATTAACATTATTTAAAAGACAATGAAAATACACAATAAATAAAACTAAAAATCATATTAATGTCCAATTTTGGATACAATTTTTTCTATAACTGGCGCCAAATAGAAGAAAAAGGACACTTAACAAAAAATAAGTGTATGTCAAAGCAAAACTATAACAAGGGCAATCATAAAAATTATAAATCTTTCATTGGAAGATTTAGTGTGCTTGAAAACTTTTTAATACGCTAATTTGAATATTTAATAACAATTTCGAAAATGTCCAACGAAAAGGAAAAACCGGTAGAGGAGGAGGAGGCGGAAGCGGAAGCTTTAGAAGAGGCGGGAATTTTAGAAGCTGATGTCGGAGCCCATTTGTTAGTTGAATTTTTCTAGTTGTAATCAGAATACTAATTTAATATTTTAGTATGTAATTTGTGTTTTAATTAGCGATCAACAATTGGCGTCCATTGATCCTCGTCTCTCGATACAAATGGATCCTTTGGCGCATCATCATCTTCGACCTGAAATGATGTTTATCCGCGAGGAGTTGCGTCAGGCCAAAATGCAGACCTTAGCGGTAAGTATGTAACAGCTGATAAATGGATGCATTCTGAAATTATACTCTTCTAGATTTCGTCTAGAGTAGAAATATCTAACTGAATATAGGGCCACTGTTGTTTCTTAATTTTTATGAATAATTCCAGGTTCGTCGAGCTGCTCTGAAGAAACTTTTGGTGAAAGATTTTCTACAAGAAGACTGTGAACTGAGGAATATTGGCCTCTCTTATGCTTCCCCAGATGTTTAATTCGTGATGTTATTTTTTCTTTCAAAAATATAATAAAATGGTCTACTTTTTTTACACTTTCATAGTATTATTTAGATAACTTATTAGTGGCGCCCTCACCAGTGCTAAAGTTTCATCAAAATCTGTTCAATAGTATAAAAACAGATAGAGGAAAAACATAAAAACAAATTAAACGGAGTAATTACGGGTAAGTAAACTTACGAGTTAATCTCTGTTAAGGCTAGATCTAAGTTAAGATGTCAGATATTAGACTTCGATCCCATTAGAAGCCGGTAGTGGGAGATTTTTTTTAGACTTTGCACCTTCCACCTTATCTCTGACATCGGACATTATTATTGCAAAAAATATGACTCAGGATAATTTACTTAGGTAATATCCTTGTTAGTTTCTATTTAAATGCAATATTGAGAAATGATGTGTTTAACATATTTTTCGATAAAATAACTAATAGCTACCCAACGCGTAATTTTTCCATTACATCAAACACATTAAAAAATTATAGGTACAATTGTAATGTAAATTTCCTTTTGTTTCTTAAATTTGTCCTTACTAAAATAATATTATACGAAAATAAAAATCCGCAGATTGTTATCAAAAGTTAAGAAAATTGTGCGCGTGAGAATATCACAGGTTAAGGAAAAAAAACAAAAAGAAAAATAAAGTTTTGCGCAAAGTTAAATCATATTTTCAAAAGCAAGATTCCCAAAGAGAAGTCCTTGGAGAATTACAACAATGTTGGATGTATGGATGCACTGAAATATAGTCATAGGATTTGAATCCGTACCACTAATTAAATGGATAAATATTTTTTTTATTTTAAAATTATTTCTGCCTTGTTTGCTTTTGACTGCGCAGAATTAAAAAAAGAGTAAAATATATCTCATGTGGTACTCGAGACTATGTATATCTATGCCAAATTTCATGATGTGTTTAATCGTTGCCGATTTATCGAGTAAATATGTGAATTGAACGTATCCTATGGGCACTAAACATATTTCTATGATTAAAAGTAGCTTGTGTTCTTGAGAAACTGTGTTTTGTATCTATACCAAATTTCATCGAGATCAAACATCCATCCAAACATTTGCATTTATTATCTTAGTATGATTACAGATTTCAATACAAAAAATTGGTATTTGCCTCATTATTATAAGAACAAAAATTGTTTAGTAGTTAAATAGAAAATTATCGTCAAATAATTTACACTTTGCTCAAGTTTCTTGTCAACTCTGAATGGTCAATTGAAAATCTGTATAGAGTTGACAAGAATGGTTAGAAACTGATATCTTCATAGTTAAAATGCAATAATATTATATTTTTATGCAAGAGTTACACTGATTTGCATCAGAGGTTCGTCATCATTATTTTTTGTAGGAACTGGTTTTGCGGGCGACTAAATAAGTGTACGATTTTGATAATCATAAATAATAAGTTATTATTGTAATCTAGTGAAGATACTACACTGTTTGCTATCTACGTTAAGGTTTTAGCGAAAATATTTGCCAATCTATAGTGTGATATCTAGTCTATTTTTTATCGTCTTAATTAATTAGGACACTTAAATCCTTATGGGGTTCTTATTTATATACAAGTATTTTACTATTGGTAGTATTTTTTGTTTGATAATATTAGAAGACTCGACAATTTTAGGCACTTCGTACACAAGGTAACATAAATCTTTTAAAACCGACGATTTTAGTCGCTCGGAGACAGGTCATACATAGAGATGGGTATACAAAGCGCGTTGACATTTCTATCTGTCATCGCCAAAAAGTTCCTCGCTAAGTTTGTCAAGGTCATGAGAGAAGTCGCTCCAATTTTCAAGATGGCGGAGCTAATATTTTACATACTCTTTGGTACTGACCAAATAGACAAGCGTCGACTATTCAAATTTGTGTAACGCGCGAAATGCGATTTTCGCGACGCAATCATATAATGTTTCGATGATTTCCGTTGCGTGTGCAAAGGGCCTTATAGTTCGTTGTCAGTGCGAATGAGTCACAAACAACAATATGGAAAGATGAAGTGTTGTGTATATAGGCGATGTTTATCTTGTTTCACAGTCATTCTCCACGACTGAACGTAACTGGTTGTTTGTGGCTAGCAAAATAATTAATATTTTTTACCTTTTAAAATTACTTTTATGTTTGTTATTAACAGAGAACAGGTTGTTAGGATATAACAAGGTTAGTATGATTGTTTTTTATTATATATTAAAATATCAAAGTTTATTAATGTCGTGTGTTTTGTTTTTTTTTTGGGTTTATGGATGAATATGTACGTATGTAATATACACGGTTTTTTAGTTGGCATGTCAAGCAGAATAGCAATCTTGTTCCCGATGTGCCATGTCAAATACTGATTACTGTAGCCTTAATGTTTTCACTAATGTTGGCTAGTCCCTCAAACTATAGCGAAAACGCGGGCCAAGTTCAATGTACAATATATTGAATTTATTTAACTGACTAACCTTTAACCTTTTAATCTATAACAAACTATGTACACATTTCAACAAAACTCCTACACTATACAACTGCAACACATTTTAATTCACCACAGTTTATAAATTACTATCTGTTGCCCGCGACTTCGTCCGCGCGGGGTTTGAAGAAACTTAATTAGTAGTTATGTGTTCTTCCAGACTTTGTTCTACATCTGTATGAAGTATCGTCAAGAACCGTTGAGCCGTTCCGGAGATACCTTCTAAAATCTTATCTTTCGCATTTATAATATTAGTAAGATTTGGAGCATATGTTAGTTCTTAGTTAACAATTTGACCATTGCAATATATCGGATCAGTTTATACACTTTCAAAATTGACATTAAAGGCCTAAAGACCTAAGGAAAATCTTCGTAAGATATCCTGATTTTTGGGGGAAAGACAGAGTTATGTGAGATTCCTACTCACTAAAATCCCCTCGGTGGGCAATGCGACAACGAGGGTCCGGGAGGGATATCTCCAATGTGCCGTGACCCTCAGCACAGAGCTTCTGAACGACTCCAGAAGACCTTGTGCCTTCACAAATATTGTGCAATATGGAACGACGCAATGTTGCCTTCTACCCTGTAGAAATAAAAGGCGTAGCTATATTTGTAAATTTGCAACATATTGTTACGAGTATGTTCAGAATAGATACAATGTTATCGTAATTATGCGCGATAAATTACTTAACAAGATTATCAGTTTAACTATCAATAATAATAACTTTAATAATAGATTAATAGGTATCTTATTATTATTATTATGTTATCTATTGATATTATGAATCATCATCAGCGTACTATATGTCCCCACTAAGGACTCAGAGCCTTCCCTAAGTTAGGGGTGAGGCTATAGTCAACCACACTGGCCCAGTGCGGGTTGACTACACACATATCTTTGAATTTCTTCTCAGATATGTGTAGGTTGCATCACGATGTCTTCACCGTAAGAACGTCGGAATTGAAAAACATTTTGGTACGCGGCGGGATTCGAACTCAGGACCTGCAGATTGCAAGTCATGTGCTTAACCCCTTAAGCGACGCTCTCTTGTTATGAATACTTATATGTATTGTGGTCCACTGGTTGTTGCCCGCAATTTCGTGGGCGTGGAATCTTACTAATATAAATGCGAATGTCTAATGGATGTATGTTTGTTAGAAGGTATCTCGCTGATTTCGCTGAAATTTAGCATAGATGTAGAACAACCTGGAAGAACACAGGCTATTGTTGTTTTTTTAATCCTTCCGGACGGAGTTATGTTGGGCGATATATTACGACGATTGTTATCTCTTACTGTTTGATTTTCGACGCAATAAAGTACTAAATAAAGGTGGGATTCAAAGAAATCTTTCATGACATGACATGCCAATATAACTTTTTCATATGAAAATTAACTTGAGAGTGCATCAAATTTGGTTAACAAGGTGACAATGGAGATGTGGGTAGACGATGGGTAAAAATAAACTTGATGAGTATAACCAAAGGTCACCGAAATCAGTAAAGTTTTCATTGAGTCTCACAATTGTTTTATTTTTTATTTTTTTTAGACTTTATTCAAAGTAAAATATGTTGTGGCTGATAGGAGCCGTCGTGATATTGTTTGTGTTATGGAAATACTACGACGAAGACAATCCTATAGACAGTCTCCCCGGTCCGAAGAGATGGCCGATTGTTGGGTGTGCTTTTGGATTACTAGGGATACCTTACGGTAAGCATTCATCTGTTTGTTGTTATCTGTTTTATTTCCTAACAACTTATCCTTCAAGAGTATTTGCTAAATGATCGGGAACGGATCTGCAGATCCTATTGTCTTACGAATAAGAATTAAAATTAGTCGACTTCTTGTCCCTTAACCTATTAAAAACTCTTAATCCCTGACTACTGTTTGGCGAAGGCAATTTTGGTCCTCTCGAAAAATGAGAAGAGGAAGTGGGCTTGCAGTTGGAGACGCATAGAAAGAAATATTCTTCTTTCTGTGCATCTTCTCTTCCGTCGAATTAACTTAAAAAATAACTTTAGATAAGTCACGTGATTGTCGCGCGTCAGTTCGAGACAATTGAAGTTCGCTATGGAATCGCTTCGAAGAAAATTGACTTTGTCTAGCCTTCCCAGGTCAGCTTTTTCTTGTTTGTCACCTTATTAAAACAGGCTCATTGTTGCATATTCCAGATGAACTCTTCAATAGGATGCTGAGTTTTCCTAAGATGTACGGATACAGATATGTTTTGAAGATATTCAATCGGCGCATTCTGCATGTTTACAATGTCGAAGACATTGAGGTTACTTAATTTTTTTTTTTAAATATTAGCAGATTTTTTGTAAATTTACTAATATTTCTTTTACCATTCCAACTAAGCTCTATGCTTGTGCTAGAATATGGTTTACGACAATAGTCGAATGGCGGGATTCGAACCCCCGACCTCGTGGTCGGAAATCCCCTTCATTAACCATTAGGCTATTGACGCTTAATTAAAATAAATTTTGAAAATAATAGACATAGTTTAGAATATGGGTTGCTAAAATATTGGTAACCAGCTGTAAGTCGTGCTTAGTTAGCACAGAATTAAAAACCTTCCTGTGAAATTCGGTCTAGCCGTTCCTAAGATAACCCGGAGCAAATATGAACTTGCGGACAGACAGATAGACAAAAATTAAAAAAATACACTATTTATTGATTCTCCAACGTTATTATTATTAATAGGTTACTGTTTTAACAATATTTATGTTACATTTGAAGTTTCTCCATGTATGTTTTACAGATAATTTTGGCACACTCAAGAAACATAACAAAGAACAGACCCTACGACTTTCTGGAGCCATGGCTCGGAGCTGGTCTTCTAATCAGTACAGGTGAGTGGTTTATATTAGTCTAGCATATTTTTTACTATGACGATTGAGTACCAATTTTAACATTGTTTTTTTTTTAATTAAAAAAATATGTTAGAATACAAAGTATTGCAATTTCAATGAGAAAACTTTATTTATTTATTTTTTTATACTTTTGTTTGGCGTGTGATTAATATATTAAAACAATTAAATTACTGTTCACACATTACTATGGCTTGACGAGACAAAAATCTAAAGCCCACTACACACCTTCAAGTTGAACTGCACAGTTTTAACTGTACAGTTAAAACTAAACTAAACTGTACACATCTCAGTTTTCATCATCAGCTTATATGTCCCCACCGAGGGGATCGATGCCTACCTTAAGTGGGTTGATTAGGCCATAGTCAAGCATGCTGGCCTAATGCGGGTTGGTTGACTTCACACATATCTTTGAATTTCTTCTCATATAAGTGCAAAATCACGATGTTTTCCTTCACCGTATGAACATCGGATAAATGTACATATGTATGTAAATCGAAAAACACATGTACATGGCGGGATTCGAAGCCAGGACTTGCAGATTGCAAGTTAAGTGTTTAACCCCTGAGCCACCGACGCTCATCGTAGCGAACATAAAATTTTGTCTATTTTGTTTTGACAGTTTTATGTTGCGCGTTCTCTTTATATCCTTTGTCATTTAAGGACGCATCTGTATTTTTACAAATCAATGGATAGCAGTTCGTTATTTCTGTGAAATCAAGTGATCATCTGATCCTTTGTCATCTTACTACTGTAAAAATGTCATTCATCTTTTTTGGAGCGTCACAGAACAGACAGCTTTATTGATTTTATAAATTAACTTGTAATTTCTTTTTCTAGGTAGTAAATGGCATCGACGTAGAAAAATTTTAACACCGACTTTCCATTTTAATATTTTAAGGAACTTTAGTAAGGTTTTTGAAGAAAAAAGTCGCAATTTGGTTCGCAAATTGAAGAATTTGCCGGATAAAAATGTGGATGTACTTTCTGTTATCGGAGATTTTACACTCAACACGATTTGCGGTTAGTTTACCGTATTTTAATCGAAATTCTTAACCATAGACAAACTACAATCTTATATATAAAATTCTCGTGTCACAATTTTCGTTTCCATACTCCTCCGAAACGTCTTGACCGATTCTCATGAAATTTTCTGAGCATATTGAGTAGCTCTGAGAATCGGCCAACATGTATTTTTAATCCCGCGCGTACGGAGTCGCGGGTGTCAGCTAGTTTACACTAAAACAAGTGGCTATAGACGCAGAACACTGTGTGGAAGAACACAGAGTCTTATCAACAAGTTTTTTTTAAAATTTCTACTCGGACGAAGACTATCTATCTTGACTACCATGTCTTGAACTTCTCGTGAAGTTGAAGACTCAATAAGTCAAAGTTTCTTGTATTTCCCTCGACATTCGAGATATCGAGATTCTATTGTAACTAGCTCCTGCCTGCGACTCCGTCCGCGCCGAATTAAAAACAACTACATTAGTACCCTTCCAGACTATGTTCTACGTCTATGTCAAATTTCAGCATGATCCGTTAAGCTGTTCTTCGTTAAGATTATGTTTTGTCGTTCCTAATATTTATACCTTTAGTTGGAATAAAGGCTGTTAAATTATATTGATTTCTTTTAGTATGTTATTTTCGTTAAGAGGACTTCCTTGAAAACTTGTTTAAAAATTCTACAGTAGAATTTTTTATAACTTATTAGCACAATTGTGTGAAACTTTGCCGATATCCTTGTGATCTTTATTGTTTTAAATAAATTAAAGTATTGAATGTGGTCAGTCTTATATTTCTAATATTATAAATGCGAATGTTTGGATGTATAGATGTTTGTTAGAAGGTATGTCAAAGGGTCAACGGATCTTGATGAAATTTAACACAGATGTAGAACATAGTCTGGAAGAATACATAGGCTACTAATTAAGTTCTTTTTAATTCCGCGTAGACGAAGTCGCGAGCGATAGCTAGTTAACTTTTATTTTAAACTTCCATTGAATTCTGACACAAAAGTATAGTTTAAAGAGTTTGTTGGAATTATTTAAATTTACAATCTATACAAAAATTAATCTATGACTGTTCTATTGTTTATGATAAAAGATTGTTTATGGTCTAGGGTAAAAACGCCCGACCCCCTGAAATTTTGATCATTCTCACTTCTGACTTTGCTCTGAGCAGTGCTAGGGATCGGACATATACCTCCATAGTGTTTATTATAAAAAGGATATATTATATACAAGTTTATTTAAATCCTTAAACGTTGTTTTTACTTTTTACCATAACTTCCTATAGAGTAACAGAGTATTCAAAAGAATTTCAACCTTCGCTACCTTTGTTTAAGGTTCAAATTGAATCAATGTTTTTTTTGTTACAGAAACAGCAATGGGAACTCAACTCGATTGCGATAAATCAACATCGGCTATTAAATATAAAGATACAATAAAAAACATAGGAATACAAGTGATAAAGAGATTAACGAAAGTTTGGTTGCATCCTGATATCATATTCTATCAAACAACATTAGGCAAAGAATTCAATCGTGACCTTGTTATAGCACATTCTTTTGCAGATAATGTTATAGATGATAGAAAAATGAAGAGAACAGATCAAGAAGATGGTGCATTATTAGAGAATTTTGATGATAAAACTAAAGAAAGTTCTAAAAGAAGATTGGCGTTGTTAGATTTGCTTATTGAAGCGGAAAATAATGGAGAAATTGATGTTGAAGGCATAAGAGAAGAAGTTAATACATTCATGTTTGAGGTTATTTAAATATTTATTGATTAATCTTCTATCATGTAAACTAATATTATAAAGAGGAACAGTTTGTTTGTTTGTATGTTTGTTTGTCTAAAAGCGCTAATCTCAGGAACTACTGGTCCGATTTGAAATTTTTTTTTTGTTGAATTGTCCATTTATAGAAAAAGGCTTTAAGCTATAACATTACGCTGCAAATAGTTTTTTTTAATTCCGCGCGAACGGAGTCGTGGGCGACGGCTAGTAACTAATAATCCTCTCTTTTACCTGGGCAGCATCAGGTTCTCCTGATTGATTCCTCGTTCCCCAAAAACGTCACCTTCACGTAATTTATCCATATCTTTCTATATAGGTATTTATATTTCGTATAATAGCTGTCGCCCGCGACTTCGTCCGTGCAGAATTAAAAAAAGGGTCTTGACAGACGGACGGATAACAAACTGATCCTATAAGTGTTCCGTTTGTTTCTTTTAGAGATATGGAACCCTAAAAAAAACTTAATTAGTATTCTATTTGATTCTTCTAAGCTATGTTCTACATCTGTGCCTTTCAGCAAGATCTTTGCAGCCGTTCTGGAGATGTTCTTGTAACTAACTTCCATCCATACAGTAATTTTCATCCAATGTATGAATAGAACAATGAATGATTACTTTGCAGGGTCATGACACCACCGCTATGGCACTGTCTTTCGGTCTGATGCTGTTGGCGGATCATGAGGATGTTCAGGTTAGTTATATTTCATACTAGCTGTCGCCCGCGACTCCGACCGCGTGGATATATAAAAAAACTTAATTAGTGTAGCCCAATTCTTTCAATGTTCTATATGTATGCCAAATTTAATCTAGATCCATTTAGCCGTTCTAGAGATATTTTCAAACACCCATCCATCCCCATCACATCCATCTAAAGTTTCGCATTTATAATATTAGTATATAAATAAAAAGCAGCTCTTCAAGGCATAAATTCGAAAAAAAATGAATAAATAGTATCCTATGTCCGTCTCCTGGCTCTAAGCAACCTCCTCACCAATTTTCAGGCATATCGGTAAAGCCGTTCTTGAGTTATAAATAGTGTAACTAACACGACTTTCTTTTATATATATAGATTTTACAAGATTTTTAACAATTTTAGCAAAAATACGATTAATATTTCCTTTGATTTTGAAGTATTCTATTTGTTTTTTTTTATTTATTAAATACAGGATAGAATTTACGAAGAATGCAAATTAATATTCGGGGATTCAGATCGCACTCCGAGCTGGACCGATCTGACCGAGATGAAATATCTGGAGGCGACAATAAAAGAGATTCTGCGGCTCTACCCCAGCGTGCCCTTCATAGGACGACAGATCACTGAAGATTTTATGCTAGGTGAGTTATACTGATCTAGACAGACTGAACTTAAAAGCAGGAAAACAAGATTTAGGTGATGTCTTACCAGTGTCAATGAAGAGAATTTCTTTTACAAGATAGACCAACCAGTCTATATATGTTACCCGCGATTCCGTCCCCGCGGAATTAAAAAAAAACTTAATAAGTAGCCTATGTGTTCTTCCAGACTATGTTCTACATCCATGCCAAACTTCATCAAGATCCGTTAAGTTGTTCCGGAGATATCTTCAGACATCTAAACATTCGCATTTATAATATAAGTAGTAGACCAATAATTGTCTACCTTCAGAAATGGACATTTTATGGCTGATTATGTTTTTCATCGTTACTTCCTCAGATGATGTGCTGGTGAAGAAAGATGTGGAGGTGCTGGTCCATATCTACGATCTGCACCGACGCGCCGACATCTATCCAGACCCCGAGGTATTCCAGCCGCAGCGTTTCCTCAACGGTGAAGTTCGCCATCCATACGCCTTTATACCGTTCAGTGCTGGACCCAGGAATTGCATAGGTATTTATCAGAGCTGAATTATTACAAAATATATGTAAATAATTGCTTTTAAAAGATTAAAAAATCAGTTTAATTATTCTACTATTCAACGAGATAAAGTTTTTCTTAGAACTAATTAACTAGCCTCCTATGTCTCCGACAGTTGCACTGTAAAATTGTATAGTTGTATTCAAATATATTACCCCTTACTACGAATATGACTTACTACCCCTTCTAATATGTCATCCTTGATTTAGTGTAGGCCCCGAGCCCCCTATAGGGGACGTATATTGAGCTGATGATGGCCTAAGACCATAGACGCTGCGTAGTGTCCTTAAAGTGCTTTTAGATACAGCAGTTGCATGGCTTATTGCCAGAAAACGCAGTCTGAGAAGCTTAAAAAAGCGTCGTCATCCTGTAATCTAGGCCAAGGTCATGAGAGAGAGGCAGGAACTATTGATATAGCGTTATTCGAAGTTGTTTTTATACCTATTAAAAAAAATCTCTATGGAGGCCACAGCTGTCTCCCCTCCCCTACCGATGCTCATGGCCCCAACTCCTGATCTTCTTGTATAGTAGTAGTGTAGGCCATGGGTAGTAAAGTTGTTATTTGATGTGAACTTACTTAGGTCAGAAGTTTGCGATGCAAGAGATGAAATGTGCGCTTAGCGAGATCTGCCGTCACTTTAAGCTGCGGGCGGCGGAGCGCGGCGCTCGACCAAGACTCAAGGCAGATATTGTGCTGAGAC